CCCCCCCATACACACAGAGGGGGTTCAGCGCCACGTGGAGACGCCATTTTAAGTCAGTTTTGTCGGCTGACTCAAAGGACATTTCATGTTCGTGTAAGGAAATACCTGGTCCTTCACAGAGGGAATCACAGATTTATAGATTTTAGAGCAAAGGGAGAATGTTGTTCATCTAAACTGACTGCGGCCTTGCCCATTCTGTATGTTCTTTTATTTAAATCAGCAGCTTGAGGTTGACCAAGAGTGTATTTTTGCAATGACATCTAGACGTGATTTAAAGTCTGCAAGTGCTCTAGAGTTTGTCACAGCCATTGGGAATTTGTTCCAATGCTTAATTATCTTTTCCCTGAAAAATACCCTTCCTTTGAAAAAAATGTTTTCTCTGAAGAATCTGTACCTTATTTTTTTGAGCTCTTAACTTCTGTCTTCTGAAAAGTGGATCTTGCTGTTTGACTTCCTCTGTAGGACTTGGGAGATCTTTATTTTCCCATAGGTATTTCTTTGTATTGTTAGTTTGTATTTTCATGGTGTTGGAAAAATTCCTTTGTACTCACAAATCCAGTTAGGCAGACATCTTTTACACCCCTGTAATCCTATGCTAAGGATCTGATATAATGAAAATATGCCTTCTCAAAGAAGAGTCTATATAATGTTCGTGCTTTTTATTTCAGTTACTGACCACTGGTTTATGATTAACTATAATTTCTGGCTAGAATGTTAATACTGAGAGAGAAAGGGTATTCAGTATATGCTCTACTTACACTGTAGGTGTCATGGTTTCTCCAGTGTGCCCCAAAACATTATTTTCAACATTTCGTTGTATGTATCAAAGATGCTTTGCAAATGGCTTGAGTTCTCTATTGCCTCTTTTTCCATAAGTGATTCCCAGAGTTGTATGGCTGGATGACACTGCAAAGGTCAGTGGTTCATGTCCTTGCCCCTGAGCAAGACGAGTAATTGCTGCAAGCCTGTATGATCTTCCTTTCATTCTTTACTGAGAAGTTACACAATCAGCATATTTCCACAGAGAATGAAAATTATAAAAAGAAGAGTTTTCAGGAAGCCTGAGCAAGTTTTCTGTGTCCTTTCTCACATGGTTCCCTTAGAAACCATGTGAGATCAGTGGGAGCCACTGTTGGTTATCCTGCCTCAATGCATTTGTCTCACTGCTTGATGAGTAATTATTGTTCCTATTTTCTCCTTAGGGCTCTTCCTGCCATGATGCAGTGGGTCCGAACTCAGAAACCAGGAGAAAGTGGTGTGAATATTATCACAGCAGATTTTGTAGAACTTGGTGACTTTATCAGCACAGTCATAAAGCTCAACTATGCCCTGGATGAAGGTGAAGATGACACTACTTGATAGTACTGTAAAGTGTGTGTTGTTATTTAGAATTTAAAAGAAAAGATTGCATTTTAAAAAAATTATCTTGTGAAACACTGATCTTCCTTTAACATGCTGAGGTGTTTAGGGCTTTAGTGGTGGACGTAGGGGAAATGTTTTAATTAATTATGATAATTTTTTTACATTCGTGTTTCATGTGAAGAGCAAAACTAAATATATTTACAGTGTTTGATAAAAGAAGGCCATTTAAATGTTTTCTGTGAGGTACCAAATGCGATTCATGTGTCTTCTCTGGTTATGAACAGTGCCAAGAAATGTGCTGCTTTTGGAGCAAGGGGATGTGTATTGCCCTCTGCCTGCCCACAGCAGGATTCCCGAAGGTGTGAGCTTTACACCAGGAGACTAAGGACAGTATATCTGACCTAAAAATTCTAAGCTGATACACTTCATCTATTAGGCAGTTTAACTGATTGTATTTATAAGTGAGATACAGGTTTAAATGCCTTTATGACGTAAATCTGAAGTCATGCCTCTAACACACGCATGTTTAGTGGACAGAAAACATCATGTGTTTTTTAGCTCTCACAGAGCACAGACTAAATCCTGCTTGCTTTTCATTCTCAAAATGGGGTTTTCCAGTGTCTCTGCCACAGGTCAAGTCAGCAGATGTGTGGTTCTGGCCTAGCTCTGTACTAGGAGCTGCTGGTACATATTTTACCTGGTTCTAGTAGGAACAAAGTTAGGCCAGCTTGGAGCACCACTCACTCCCAGGGTTAATCTTATCTAAGCACCTAATCCAATGTCCACCAAAGTTAATAGGAAAATTTACTACATTTAGGATGGATTTGGCATAGGATGAGTAAATTGTGTCTGTTGTAAGGTGGGCAGAATTTTATCCTATGGTAGAAACCTGCTTTCTGCAGGACTAAAACTGCATTTAAAAAAACAAACCAAACTAACCAACAAACAAACAAAAACACTGGAAAAAAAAGGGTGCAGTCTAAGCTTCTCTTTAAGGCAGCTATGAACACAACACTTCTCTGCTGATTACAAAAATAATCAGTGCCAGTTTCATCAGTGAAAAATTGCTGTACTAGAGGGTATAGTAATTCAGTTTCTAGCTAATAAAAATGCTTGATAGTCCTTAAATTCTTTATGGGGTATTACAGCAAATAACACAAGATTGGAAGCCAATTGAAGGGCACTGTTCAGCAGCAGAATGGCTGGTCATCCTGCTTTTAATGAAACATACAAAACTCAAGTGTATGGAAAACTTAATGAGTTACAAGATTAGAGCATTGCCACTGTATGGCACCTAACTGGGTACAATGCAGTCTGTCGTATCTTCTGGATACATCAATGCACAGGTGCACAACTTTGGCAAGAGAACATTTCATTTTCCAAAAAAAATAGATTCTATAATGTCTTATATGGAAAATGCTCTTTGAAATATTTCAGTGTTTTATGGGATAAGACTAAGGTCAAGTTTCCATTGATGTTAGTAGAACTTTTTGTTGAGTGAGAAGAATAGCATCATGGTATTTTGCTATTTTTCTATCAAGTAATGGCTACCATCTACCATCAGAGTTTAGAAAAAGAAGAATGGTCCTATCAAACAGGTGGATTATGGGGGGGCTATAGGGTTTGTTTTTTTTTTAATTTTAGTGTAGGAAGAAGTGGAATAAAATTAACACTTGCTCCTCTTTTGTAGTGAGAGGATGCCTTGGAAAAAGTGTGTGTGTGCACTATAAAGAATCATTTAAGTGTATGTGTACTATAAAGACACATTTAAATGTATGTAAATGACATAAAGACATCCATGGAAACTTGCATAATGATATTTTGCATTCTGGACAGGAGTATTATAGATTTGGTTGAAAAAAACTGTGCAAGTATTATGAAGTTATGATGCTTCCTTCAGTAGCAATTTTTTCTCTATAGGTCGGGACTGTAAGAGTCATCCCCAATGAAACCTGAGACCTAAGCCAGTTAGGTTTTTTACAGTGTTAGAACTATACCCAAACTTCCCCCAAAATTTACAAAGAGACACAGCCAATCTTCATATCGAACAAGGGGTAGGGCTCTAGTTCTTTCATCTACATCTAAGCAAAGCATGGAGTGTGTTGATGCACTTTGTTTCAAATTTTCACAGGCTCTTCAAGTGAAACTCATGTAACAGACACATAAAATGAAATGTGAGCATTTTTTTTTTTTTTTTAACCCACCCTAGGTGGGTGACACACATAGAAATGAGAAAGTGTTTGCTTATTTATTGGCAATGTGGTGTGAAATGCTCTTTTCATTTTTTCCATCTAGCCGGGTTTTTTTGCTTCCAGATGCTCCCTGTTGTCCTTCAGCCACTTAAGTGTAGTCAACAGCCTATTATTTGAATGCAGTAAAGTAATCTGAATCATTGGGTGGAGCAGAAAATAGATTTCTTATTTGTTTTCTGATTGAGATTCTATTGAATCTGAGGGCACCAAAATCACTGAATTCCTCCTGGGATCCCTCACTGAAACACACACCAAATATACTGAGCTTTTCACTTACACAGAGGTGTACTCAAAGCAGTTGTTCTGCTGTATTTAAGTAAAGTGTGTGTGTGTGCCTGTATATATGACTATATATGGAGCTATCATGAGCTTGTTAGCATTGTTATGAACTATTCGCTTAGTGTCACTTTTATTCTGATTGTCATTTGGGTGCTGGAAAATAGAAGCATAGCAAAAAAAAATATTAAAAAATCCTCTAACAGAAAGGATTACAGACAAATAATGTAGTTTCTCCATTAATGGGGGAAAAAATCTTAGGAAAATGTTACATTTGGTCAGAAAAAGATATGTTTTCGTTTAGCTGTCAATCTCCTTTCTTTTGAGAAAGCACAGCACTTTGTTAGAAACAGGTAAACAAACTTGCCTTAATTTCTAAAACAAAAAAGTGTGTGGGGGGATCATACTATCCACGCTTTTCTGGGGATTTCAGCTGCAAGGACCCAAAACTGTAATTGAACTGTCCTGATAGGCATGCACTCCCTATTGACACTGTTGGGGAGATGTTGTCAGAAAGAACAAGGAATAAAATTAACACTTGCTCCTCTTTTGTAGTGAGAGGATGCCTTGGAAAAAGTGTGTGTGTGCACTATAAAGAATCATTTAAGTGTATGTGTACTATAAAGACACATTTAAATGTATGTAAATGACATAAAGACATCCATGGAAACTTGCATAATGATATTTTGCATTCTGGACAGGAGTATTATAGATTTGGTTGAAAAAAACTGTGCAAGTATTATGAAGTTATGATGCTTCCTTCAGTAGCAATTTTTTCTCTATAGGTCGGGACTGTAAGAGTCATCCCCAATGAAACCTGAGACCTAAGCCAGTTAGGTTTTTTACAGTGTTAGAACTATACCCAAACTTCCCCCAAAATTTACAAAGAGACACAGCCAATCTTCATATCGAACAAGGGGTAGGGCTCTAGTTCTTTCATCTACATCTAAGCAAAGCATGGAGTGTGTTGATGCACTTTGTTTCAAATTTTCACAGGCTCTTCAAGTGAAACTCATGTAACAGACACATAAAATGAAATGTGAGCATTTTTTTTTTTTTTTTAACCCACCCTAGGTGGGTGACACACATAGAAATGAGAAAGTGTTTGCTTATTTATTGGCAATGTGGTGTGAAATGCTCTTTTCATTTTTTCCATCTAGCCGGGTTTTTTTGCTTCCAGATGCTCCCTGTTGTCCTTCAGCCACTTAAGTGTAGTCAACAGCCTATTATTTGAATGCAGTAAAGTAATCTGAATCATTGGGTGGAGCAGAAAATAGATTTCTTATTTGTTTTCTGATTGAGATTCTATTGAATCTGAGGGCACCAAAATCACTGAATTCCTCCTGGGATCCCTCACTGAAACACACACCAAATATACTGAGCTTTTCACTTACACAGAGGTGTACTCAAAGCAGTTGTTCTGCTGTATTTAAGTAAAGTGTGTGTGTGTGCCTGTATATATGACTATATATGGAGCTATCATGAGCTTGTTAGCATTGTTATGAACTATTCGCTTAGTGTCACTTTTATTCTGATTGTCATTTGGGTGCTGGAAAATAGAAGCATAGCAAAAAAAAATATTAAAAAATCCTCTAACAGAAAGGATTACAGACAAATAATGTAGTTTCTCCATTAATGGGGGAAAAAATCTTAGGAAAATGTTACATTTGGTCAGAAAAAGATATGTTTTCGTTTAGCTGTCAATCTCCTTTCTTTTGAGAAAGCACAGCACTTTGTTAGAAACAGGTAAACAAACTTGCCTTAATTTCTAAAACAAAAAAGTGTGTGGGGGGATCATACTATCCACGCTTTTCTGGGGATTTCAGCTGCAAGGACCCAAAACTGTAATTGAACTGTCCTGATAGGCATGCACTCCCTATTGACACTGTTGGGGAGATGTTGTCAGAAAGAACAAGCCAGAAGGAACTATGCAGCACAACTGGACCTTTTGAGAGCCAGTTTTGCCACCCGTGTGCAGCTAAAACTCTTCTTGATTTCAAAAGAAATGTGCTTGTGAAGTTGGGTCAGATGAGTTGTCTGACGTGATTCATTTGGGAGGTATCTACAGATGCACTATGAGGAATCCAGCATGGGAAATTAGATGACTGTAATCAGCCCATCAGAGGAAGAATGCCTGTCTACTCTATTGATCTTCATAGACATCTGTTTACTCAAACTGTCTTGTCATTCTCCACCAAAACATCTTTTTCTTCCTGTGCTCATTTTCGCCTGTACTCTACTCATTGTATACACATCAAGTAGTATTGTTTTCTGGCATTTTATGTGATTACTTGATCCTTTCTTTTCAGTCATACTTCAAAAATTGTGACCATGCTACACAACATAGGCAGTGTCTCAGCTATTGTAAACCTGCCTGACTCCATTTTTCAGTTTACTCAAGCTGAGGTGTCTCTGTTCAGTGCGATCCAACCTGCAGCGATTTGAACCAAAGAGCAGCTGGTCCTGGGGTCTAATTCCTGCCTAGTGTAGAGAGGGGTAGGAA